CGTTAAATCGCGCGGCTCCGGCAGTGAGCGGGAGATTCGGCTGTGCTCCCCCGGAGCTCAGCGCTAGCAGCAGCCCGCCGAGGGAGAAGGCACAAAGAGGACAGTCCCAGTTGAACCGCTGCGGGCAAAAGCTGCAGGAAACAATTATTAGCCAAACGCAGAGACAACTGTTGTCTTATTTTCAAACTCAGAGTGAAGCAGTAATGTAGGATACAAGAACAGTAACACAAACAAGATGTGGAAGCCGTCCTTTTCACCAGACAGAAACCCATAGGATTTTATTTTTTCTCTAGGAACTTCATGCTCATTTGAACGGCTGTATCAGTTCTGCCACTATGAAGAAACTTATGGCCCAGAAGCCGTACCTTCAGATCCAGAATGGAATGACTGTGATTGACAAAGGAAAGAAGAGAACCTTAGATGAGTGAGTGTATGCCTGTGCGTGATGAACATTTACCGAGTGTCTTTTAATGAAGTTCAAAACAGAGAAATGTACGGCCTTATACACTGACTGCAGAAAATACATTTTCAAGTTTTAGTTACAGTACAATCTGTCAGATTTTTTGCTACTTGTATCTATAGAATAACTTCTTAGATGTTTGCAGACTAAATGGAAATCTCATGTTGATTAATTCCCTTTTTAAAGGATTGAAAATTTTCACTTGTAGCATATGCTTTTCAGAGAAAATTGACTCGTATAGTTTCCTTTTTTGGAAACTTCAGGTTTTCCTTTGTGCTTCAAAAAGCTTTGTGGTAATAATGATAATTTCTGTTGCAAATGCATCGTTAGCATCTAAAATCAGAAATCGCCATTAGATGGTCTTTGTACTTTAAGCTACAAGCTGGTTAACCGAGCATAATGAGTACATGTTTTCAAAGTGTAGCTTTTTTTTTTTTTTTGAGTACTCATTTTACTGTTCAACATTTGTCCAGTTTATTTTTTAACTTTTTATTTTAGATGTTTTCAGATGTTTCAGATCATCTATCAGATTACCACTAGGACTGAAGATATTTTACTGGTAAGTTAATTAAAAGTTCACTTAAAACAAGCAAGCAATACACGCAGTCAGAATTAGTTGGATTAACAGCATTGGATTCCAAGTAACAATATGAACAACGGTCCCTTCAATCAGAGGTCAGAATTATTATTGTAAAACACATTAATTTAGAAACACAGGATTTTATATAACTTCTACATTTAATTTTTGTGAAAGCAGTGAGCTTCCAATATGGTGGTCGTTATGACCACTGACATGCTTGGGCTGATGATGTCTGAAAAGTGCGATGTCTGTTCATTGTTACCAAAGCTTCGATTTACCGTAGTCTCCTGTTTCTTCTGTGGTTCATTACATACCAAAACTACAGAACTAGAGTTGCCCTTTGTTCACCTCGGATTACAAAAGCGTCAAGGAGAACTGTTGTGTGATCAAAATAGGGAGCAGAAAGTGGTGTAGTGTCATCTTCTTTCCTTCTGTAAAGGGGCCTGTAGGCAGCCTGTTAAACTTACAGAAAGGTACGGTAGCTGTGAAAGGGGTTTTGACTGCAGCAGTTGAGGGGTATTCTTGTTCAGATGAGGAAATTCTCATTTGTCCTAACTCTCTTTAGTATCACTGAGGGAACTGAAGGTACCCTCTGTGGGGCAGTATTGCCAGAGGTGGAGAGCGCTGAAAACACATAGGGCCTGAAAATTTTGCAAGTGTTTCACGCCAAAAGATATCTGGGTCTTTTAGTTGTAAAGGAAAATATAACCAATTACCAGCATTACTTTCATGATGTTGAACACGCTGCTTCTTGATCAGATAACTAAAGATGTTATTAAAGAATTTGCTGATGATGGTGTCAAGTATCTGGAACTGAGGAGCACTCCTAGAGAAGAAAAGTCCACAGGTACAGTCTGTTCTGGTTTTTAATTCGTAAGTCTGATGTGCTATAAAACTTAGTTAAGACTATGTTAATAACAAGTAAAGTCGAATTTAGTTGGTTCAATAAAAATCTACCTTAAATACAAAAGCAAAGATTTAACCATGTAAAAACATGTCACTTTATTCTTAGATTTTTTGAGGACAAAAATGTGTTGGTTATAACTCTACTACCCAAGAATTTGGGTTATTCACTTTAGTATGACATCTGAGTCTGCTAATATTTTTAATAGCTGATATAATTTCTTTTTGTTACTTTGTTTTTTATTTTCTTTTAGATGTGGTTTGATAGGAACACATAAGAGAAGTCCTGTTGCTACTCTTTGGTTGGCACTAAGTTATTGTCTTTCTTCCAGATGCTTAGGAGGAGGCTTAATTCAAATGTATGCTTGAAAGTAAAGCTATAAACAGAACTGTATAGATTAGAAGACTATGGACTAAAATCAAAGGTGCAAAATGAAACTTAGGAGGCTAGAGCTGGGTCTGCAACACAATAAAATTAATTCAAATATGTTTATTCCAAATGTGTACATGTGTTTGTAGGTATGACCAAAAGGATGTATGTTGAAACTGTACTTGAGGGTATAAAGCAGTGTAAAGAAGAAGGCTTGGATATAGATGTAAGGTAAATAAAGCCCATGGAGTACCTCTGTTTCAAGGTCTTGCGTAGCCTGATGCTCGGTCGTGGTTTGCAGAGAGGTTTACAAACCATCACTGTAGGAAGGAAAATTGTGCTTAAACTAGACTACATGGAACGGAAACAGGTAATTCACATGGAAACCCAGATTGTTATCTTGCCTTTTTCCTGATAGAGAATGAAACTGGGTAAAGCTTTTCAGCTCTAAGACTGTCCATTCTCTGCAACATTTTCAGGAAAAGCAGTGTTTTTGATGGAAATTGCATTAAAGAGTCCTTTCTCACAGCCTAGATTCATTGCAAAGATTTTGCTTGAGTAGCTGTACAGGCAGCCTGCTGTAAAGGAGAGGGGGTCCTAACCAGCAGGAAAGTTTCAGAAGGTGTCAGTGGTTGTGGGAGGCAGTCTGCTTGCCTGTCTCTTACGCTCTCAGTAGCAACCCTTGTTAGATTTATTTGTGGATGCTGAAGAGCTCTCATTCTTCACGTGTGCTCCTCCGAGAGGTTGCTCGCCTTATAGTGCAGGCAGCAAATGCGCAGTGTGTTGTTCCCTTCCCTCCCTCTCGCCGTGGCTATCACATTTCACAGCCTAACGGATTTATCTAAGTTGTGTCCCTCTGCACTCCAGTACCTTCAGTCCTTGAACAGTTTCCTATACAAATACTGTTTTATGCTCAGCTGTGAAAGATGTGAAGTGCCATTTTTGTTGGTATCAGATTTATTGGTCTCCTGATATTACAGCTTGTATTTAACTTAATACGTACGTTTCTATCCTAGATTGTTAATAGCCATAAATAGAAGAGGTGGCCCGGCAGTTGCGAAGCAGACTGTTAAACTTGCTGAAGAGTTCCTTCTTTCCACTGATGGGGTTGTAGTAGGACTTGACCTCAGTGGTGATCCCACCGTAAGTTTTTGTTTTGTTTTGGTCTGTTCTTGAGGAGAAATACATAATGTTGTGTAACAGCAAGCGCTTCTAATCATGCTCTGTTGTTACAAGTTTTTGTCTGATGTTTGTTGCTAGTTTGAATGGATTGCTCGTAATCTTGATACCAGGTTAATCCCTGTTGCTGTAAGGGACAGACACTCTAACAAAAAATCAATAGATTAATATATGACACTGAAAAAAGAGCCACTGAAAAGCAGTGTTTATCTGGGAAGTGTCCATTACTAGATTGTCCCAGTCAGATTGACTGGGCTGAGGCAAGTTAAATAATATTGCAAGCTGCCACTAGTTTAAATTTTGTTTAGACACACCAAATGCTTATTACATATTAAGAAAGCAAAAATGTTTGAGGATAGCTGTCAAGTTGAAATGAAATAGCTCTAGGTGATCGTTGTAGAAAGGATATCAAAATCAAGACAATTGGCTTTGTCAGCGTTGGGCGTCGTCTGAACTACTGACATTTGACCAGTTGGTCTAAATTGTGCCCATATAGCGGGACATTATGTGACTTGCTGCATTCAAAACTGAAGTAATGGGAAAAGAGAAACAATTCAGTGTAACTGTATTTGAATTAAGTATTTTGATACTGCTAGACTTCTTAATTATTGTAACGGGAGGAGTTTTGTAAAGCAAGCTGTAGAATGGTGATGTGTTTCTGTCTTCAAGGCAGGACATGGTCAAGACTTTTTGGAACCACTTTCAGAAGCAAAAAAAGCAGGTCTAAAGCTGGCGTTGCATCTTTCAGAGGTAAAAGTTTGCTTTATTTTGGTCCTTTTCTGTAATTCCCATTTTATAAAAACCTTGATGAAACTAAAATTAACTTCTGTGCCTTTTGAACTTCTCAGGCCAAAGTAGTAATGGTTTGGGGTGTTTTGACAAGAGATTAGAAAACAAGGAGAAATCTTCAACAATCTGTTCTGAATCAGAACTGGCAAGCTATTTCTTACTGTACTGTATCTATTGGGGGGGTTAGGTGTGAATTTGAAAATGAGTAACATTCCAAGAGACGCACTGTTTTCTTCCGGGTATTTTATCAGAAGCCACGTATAGTAAAACTCGCCCGTTTTCACGAGTAGTTCTGTTAGCTCTGCTTGTATCAGTGGAAAGAGTTGGGCCTCTCCATACGATCTGCAGAAAGGGCTGAAGTTTACTCTGATGAGTCTGATAAATACTGAAAATATTTTTATTTCTTCAGGAAATGAAGCATAATATCTGATGTCAGAGGCCTATTTATACTTGTTTCTGTTTCATTAAGGAGGCTTTTGCAGGATATTCCTGCATGCTTCTCTGAAAATGTATTTCTTAATGCTTCGGTGGTCTTTTGGTTTTGTTTCCTTTTGGTTGGTTGGTTGGTTGGTTTTGGCTAAGTTCTTCATGCACCCTTTTTTTTAATCCCTGTGTAAAACAAGTGTTAAAGGTTGTCTTGACAGGGTCGTTTTGAAACTGAAGCATACAAAGCTGATTTGAGGGCTCCAACTGAAAGTACTTCAGAACTGCAAATAGCAATTATCTGTTTTTACGTAACAGTTTAGGATTATGGCTTCTTCGGTTTGTAATTCCAACTTGAGAGTCGCTTTCATGCACTACTTCTGTCTTTACAGGGTAGTAATGCAGATAGTCTCACTAACACTTTCTTTTGGATAAGATATTCTGTGAAAATAGAACTTGAAGTCCATTGTAATTATTTAATGTGCTGTTTTATGCTGCCTCGACGAAATGTAAAATACATCCTCTCTAGATTCCAAATCAAGAAGAGGAGACCAAAATTCTCCTGGGCCTGCCTCCTGACAGAATTGGACATGGAACATTTCTCAACTCTGCAACAACAGGTTCAGAAGAGTTAGTGCCTCTTGTTCGACAGAATCATATACCTATTGGTAAGAAAAAAAGTTAAGGAAGTTACTTGGCGATCTCTAGGTTTCAGAATATCGTTGTACTGCTGATCCAGTAACTCTGGTTTGTCTTTGACCAGAGGTGACTTAGAAAAACGTGGCAGTGTACGTGAGAGAACAGCCTGTAAAGGTACACTGGTAACGCTTTTGTGTATTTGACGTATTTGTGGCAGCAGACAACAACTGATGTCTCAGATGAAAACAAAACCTAATCATAACTTTCACTTACCGTGCAAGGCTGTGTGGTGTTTCTCTGTCTGGTTTGTAAGCTCCCTAAATTTTATACCCAGCCAGTAGTTAAAAAGAAATTGATTACCAAACTTCCCTCAGAACACATTACTGAATATTTGAAGCATAGAAAATCAAGGAAATAACAATAGCTGATTTTAGTTTTCATTCAGGAACAGAAAGAAGTCAGTTAATGTGTCAAAAACATAACATGTCTTTTGTTTTGATACATGTATCCTTGTTTCTTCTTTTTTTCCCTTAGAACTTTGCATGACATCAAACATCAAAACTCAGACAGTGCCTTCCTGTGACAAACACCATTTTGGATACTGGTACAACATGGGCCACCCGGCAGTGCTTTGTGTAAGTTTTTTGATTTTAACCACGTATTTAGGCAAAGAGCCAAACTAGTGTGAAACTGGAGAAGTATATCTCCTTTTGTGGATCAGAGCTGACTTACTAACAATTTCTGACCTTGCAGCAAATCATCTGCTGATAGGAAATCCTAATGTTCTGTTTGAGAAATGCTTGTAATACAAATGGGAATTTTTAGTATTTGTCTTGGTTTTATCGTAAAGCAAGACCTTTTTTTCTGTATAGGTAAGATGATCAGCTACGCATGCAATGAACTTCTTAACTGTTTGCATACTGACAGATTTCTCTTAAACGTATTGGTCCCATGCTTGCATTTCAGCTTGTGCTTACCTGGGTATTTATCGTGCTGGATGAGAGTTCCTGTGTTCTCTTGACAGCTAATTAAGGTCCTTAAATGTTGAGGTGCCAAGTACTTTTGCCGGCATTGGCAGGATTTCACTATCATCCTGTTGGTTTAACCCCTGTAATCTGTAGCATTGTTCAAGCGTGCGTATATATATTAGAGCGTTGTGCTTATTATTCAAGTAAGTGTCAATCTTTTATTGTATAAAGTATTTATTACTGCGTTTGAACTCTCTTGTATTAGGTGAAAACTGATTCATGATTGGAGATTATTTCTGAGATTTTCAATTGTGAAAAGTCTAGATAACCCATGAAGTCACGTAAGAGAGCAGCTTACCCACAAAGGCCTATAAAAACAAGAGTAGTAGAAGGAGGAGATAATACAGTGTCTTATGTTTACCAGGACATAGTTAGCATTCTTCTCTGTGGGGACACAAGGACTCCGAGTTGCAGATGGGTAATCTCATTAACCCTGAAATAATCCTAACTTGCTCCTTTTGGATGAATAATCTTTAGGTGGCTTTTGATCATGTTTTTGATGCTAGCCCAGTACTTCAGTCAGTATCAAGAAATTACTCTAGTTGACACCAAGTACGGAGAGTGAGACAGTTTCGTCCCTGAAGATGCAAGAACACAGAGTATGCTCTAGTTCCCAGGTCTGAGGAAAGGGAAGAGAGGAATAAGGAGACGCACATATACTGACATAGCTTGCATGTGTGCAGCATTTGATAGCCATCTTTCTAGCAATTTTAACAGGAAATCCTATTTTCTTGATAAATTGTGCCATCACTTTAAGAGTTTTTTTAGTGAAAATAGGGCAAATAAAGTATGAAATAATTACCAACAGATGAAAGAACCATGGAATAAAGTGTGAAACAGCAAGATAAAACTGGTTTGTAATGTGTAGAAAAACCCCTTTTTGATGTAGCGGAACTAATTTAAACTTTTTTTCTTTTCTTTCAATTTAACTCCAGACTGATGATAAAGGCGTCTTTGCAACAGATCTGTCGCAAGAATACGAGCTGGTTGCAGAAACATTTAATCTGACTCGATCACAGATGTGGGATCTTTCCTATGAATCAATCAACTATATCTTTGCTTCAAGTGTAGTAAAATCAAAGCTAAGGGAACAGTGGTGTAAACTGAAGCCAACTCTGTTTGATTAATCGAAGTGTTGTTCTAAAGAGCTCGGGTGTGTTAGCTTAGTTAAGAAGCATTTTTTTACTGAAGTCCCTGGCTTTTTTCAGACTTCAGGTTTATAAATGCAGCCCATAAACAGTGCCTGTGCAAAACGAAGACGACAGGAATGCATTCTCTCTTAGCGTGCTTTCGCAGTTGGGAAGGGCTGTCAGCCAGTCACTAAGATCCCAAATGTGTCGTCACATCGTTCCTCTCCAGTTGATACGACAATTTTTAAAAAAACTTAGTTGAAATGTGTCATCATAATACAAACATTTGAGAGTCAGAACAAAATAAAGGCACAACTGTTAAGGTTTCAGATGCCTCCGTTGGCAACATTGCGCCAAGCAGTTTGTGTGTATGGTGCGTATATTTGGGGTTTTGTATTGTTTTTAAGCAGAAGTTTTGAGCAATTGATTGAATGTGAAGACAGAAACAAACTCAGGGAGAATGAAATATTTGTCTCAAAGGAAATGTTGCATCTGTTTTTATTGGCGTACGTGTAGGACTGAAGCCTGCTGTGGATTGTGTAGCGTATGCGGTGGTGCCTACTGATGCACTCGGCACCCGTAGTATTCGGAGTTAGGAATCTCGAACGCCTCAGCAAATTGTGAGCTACTTGGGGGAAATGGTCTAATTCTTAAAATGCTTTTTACAATTGCTGCTTGTTTCTTGTAAAAAAGCAATAAAAATAGCCTCAGTCTCCATGTTTTCAAAACCACTACTTCCAGTGCGCGTGTGCGTGAGTTCCACAGAGGCGAAGCGCGGGGAGCCTGCGGCAGGGTTTGTAAGGGGGAGCCCCCGGGGCGCACCCGCTGTCTGCTCTGGGAGCAGAGGCTGCTCCTTGGCTCCGGCAGCGACAAGGGTTCGCTCCGCCTGTCTCTGCGCGTGCGCGTTTTCATACCGAGATATCCAAATGCACGTGAACACACACGTGCAACAGTATCTACTACTAGATATTGGTAGCTAGCATAGGAAGTATGCGGAGAGAGGGTATTTCATACCTGGAATATTTTCACATTGATTGATTAAGCAAGCAACCATTCTGGGCTCTACAAGGAATACTGATGATAAATACAATGATACAAAAGCTGTTCATGACTTCCATTTTGGTCTTTTTTAGGGAAATGAGCACAAAGCAGTTCTTCTGGCTCCAAAGTGGCAGTAAGAAACAAAAAGGGAAAATAAAAAAAAAGAGGAAAAAAAAAAAAAAAGGCAGGCAGGGGGCAGGATAGCAAAGAAGTTGGCATGTCTGTCTGGCTACCTGAGGCTTCCACAGAATGTTTTCCAAGCAGAAAGCATTACTTTTGGAGATGGGGGGGCGGGGAAAATTATGTGAAGCAGAACTGTGGTTTTACATATTCTTATCTGAACTCGGAGTAAGACCTCCTGCTGACTTTCTACTTATAAACGGTACTTTAAATTACTTTCCAAATAGTTTCACTGATCACGGTATCTTTCATTGTTTGATCAAGTTGCATTATCGCTTGCTGTTGGATAAAGTTTGTCTGTATTTTCTTTCTACAAAAATAATTATTGCAGTAAATGTAGTAAATTCTTTCTCCTTTCTTATTGGAAAGGTCTGCAAAGACAGGCTGAGCAGCTTTCTGGAATGTTACAGTTACGTATATCTTAGTCTCAGGACAAGTGGGCCTACGCGCAAGTGAGATGGCATTCTCTTGTAAAATAAGCTTCTATAGTGTTATAAGTTATGGTCTTCTAATAACTCTTCAATAACATAGTATTTGGTTTATCAGTGAAGAAAAACTGTCGACTTCCTGTTTATTTACTAAGGGGTCATCCTCAGCGTTCGTTTTATCTGTCGCGTCTAAAACTTTCCAAAGCAAAAAAAGACTCCTAATTAGCGCCTGGTGAGATTTTTAGTTTCAAACTGCTGGTGTCATACAGAAGTAAGTTTGATTTTTAAGGTTTACCTGTGGAACGTAACGTGTAGGCGTGTTCATTCAGAGAGCGTAGCCCTGGTAAATGCTGCCATTTTCAACTTCCTATTTTTCCTGCAAGCAGTCTTTGAGCTTTTTAACATTATGGACTGTTAACAGTTCTCAATATTTCCATTTAATTGACTTCTGTGTTTCATCAAAATGCTGCCTTGCATCAGCTGTAGTACTGCCCCCAAACAGCGTGGTACGTGATGACACATGGATGCTGCGTAGTTTTGTAATGAAAAAAACAACCAACTTCCCCGATTGTTAATGAAACAACAGTGTTCTGGATACATAGCGAAGCAGTGCTGTTATACGTAATCTAGAGTTACGGAATCACTCTTCTGAAGACTGTGTACTTACCCTGTCACTTAGATACTTGCAGATCCACTGCTGATTTAATCCAGTATTAATAGTGACTCCGCTGGTAACGGGAGTCAGGAGGTAACTGGGAGGATTCCGTTTGCGTGAAGTAAAAGAACCAGGAACGTATTTGGGTGGCTAAAGAACGATACACAGAGCCGGGGGAGTTCCGTATATTGGTTTCTAACTGTGTGTTACTGCAGTTAGTTACACTGCAGAGGCGTTACGCTTAGCGTGGAAATGAAAGTTGGAAAGGATGGGGAAAAGTTTTGGAATGAAGAATCATCATCTGATTGGAACTTTGTTGTGCACATTAGAAGCTGAAACCTTACCTTCTTACTATCGCGGGGCTATTTTTCAGGAGTATAACTTTTATAAGTAAAACCACAGGGGTTCCTTATTTGGCTTCAGGGAGGATTATAGTTACTTTTAATTTAAGTGCTTCTTGCTGAGCCTGCTTGTTAAATTCAGACTTAACGGTGAGATAACCATTATTTAGTTTATAATATTGTATTAAAGTGACTGTGACATACAGTCAGAGTGAAGCATCACCACTGAAGTAACCATCGGTAACAGGGCAGAGGACCAGTTTTTCTCCCCCTGAATGCGGTGGAAATTCCGAGTAACTATTTCTAGAATTTCATATGGTATAAGATGAGGTTTAAGTGTCTATTCAGGTGCAGCTCAACTTATTCTTTAAGTAAACAAAATAAATCTAGCCCGAGTTAATAGTTTTGTTTATTTCCATCTGATTATATGAGATAACACACACAGAACAGTCTTCAATGCTCCGTCTTCATTCACATCACATGAAAATACACCCCTTGGTCCTACTAAACAATATTGTCTTTGGAGACGTATGCAAGCAGAGAGCAACTGCTCACTGTAGCATAAGTTTCTCAGAGTTCCTTTTGAGACAAACAGAGTCTTCAAAACCTCTGTTCCTTATGGTTAGGCTGGTAACATACCACAGCCTATCCTAACACAACCGCTAAACCCTCAGTATTTACACACTGCTCTTCAGGATCACAGCTCTGCAAATCATCTAGTTACATGAATGATTTATATGCCTGTTTCAAACTAATACATTAAAGAAATAATAATGCAGATAAGGGCATTGCATTGGGTAAGTGCATAAGATGATTAAGAGACTGGAGCATCTCTCATAGGAGAGGCTTCGGGACCTGGGGCTGTTCAGACTGGGGAAGAGAAGGCTCAGGGGGCAGATCTCATCAACGTCTTTAAGTATCTGATGGGAAGGAGTGAAGAAGATGGAGCCAGGCCCTTCTCAGTGATACCCAATAATGGGAAAAGGGGCTCAAACCCAAACAGGGAATTCCACCTGAACGTAAGGAAACACTTTTTTACCGTGTGGATGGTTGAACATGGGAACACGTTGCCCAGACAGGTTGGGGAGTCTCTGTCCTTGCAGATATTCAAAACCCTAAGTGACCTGCTGTAGTGGACCCTGCTCGAGCCAAGGAGGCGGACTGGACATCTCCAGAGATGCCTTCCAACCTCAACTATTCCGTGAGTCTGTGAAGTGAATATACAAATATACAAATGATAAAGTCTCTATATGAATAAAAAACAACTTTAAAAATTAAATACTGACTTAACTCAGTCACTCTTGTGACAGCTTTTCACCAGGCTTAAACAAAAGCAGTTGACTGACTTGTGAAATTGTTTTTAAAGAATGATTTATTCGTTCTTCGTAGCCTTCCTTCTTTCCCATCCACTGTGGAATCCTTTAGTGCCATCAGGGCCTTTAGGCAGCCGCAGCACCCCTACAGGCAGACCATCTGCATTTTGTATTTTCCGAGCTAACAGGGGGCTACTGATGGGACTCTTCTCTTGTGTTACAGTTTGAGCTTTTCTTCTCTGTACCCAGGGGCTACCAGAAGGAGTGATACTGCTATCCGAGGAATAATCTGTACATTTCCTTGGCATTTCAGGGCTAGTGCTTGGGTTAAGCTTGCTGTCTTCAGCCAGCGGAGACTTTTTGGTTACTTTTCTTAGTGAAGATGGACTGTTCCAAGGACTTGATCTGGGTGACACGTTAGGACTCAAATGGTTGGTTGGGTGAATGACAGGGCTCAAATTACTTGTATTTGTTGCAGTACTTTTGCGTCCTGACAACGGTGACGTAGGATTACTCTCTGGGTCAGAAGAGCTATTTGCTGAAGATTCATCACCAACAAACTGAAGTTCCTCAACTCTCTTATTAAGGGATCTAGCCTTCTTAAGACTCTTGCTGGTATCTTCATCACGGTTCTTGTCTTTAGGAACTTTTTTCTTTGGAGGTTTCATGCCTATTAGGACAACTTTCATGCCAGTCTCTTTCTTTTCAGCACACATGAAGTCATGAGCACGTACGGCAGCATCTACTTCTTCAAATTCTATAATTGCACATTCCTGAGTTCCCAGTTGGGTGTACCGATTGCTGACCCTCCTGATATCGGGTGGTAGATCCCTACCAGGCTTGAGAATACGAACTGATGAAATTACACCAAAAGTTACAAAGGCTTTGAGGAGATGTTCCATTATCCTTTCTTGCACACATCCATTTTCTTGTTGTTTGTTAAGAGCCTGCAGCTCAGAACTCATGTGGATATCATACACCAGTAACATCCTGGTAGGGAGGTTTTCACTTGGAAACACTGGAACTGGAGTACTTCTTCTAACCTTTCTGTTGTCGTCATTGAGCTCAAGAGTCTCCG